GAGAGAGAGAGAGAGAGAGAGCTGGCTGGCTGGCTGTAGCAGAGGATCTGTACATGTATGTGATATATACAAAAACAATGGAAGTCATGAGGGAGATTGGATGTCCGGTGGGTACTTACTGGGTTAGTGAAGGAAGGATGAATATGTTATTATTGTTGTTTCTTTTCTCAAACCAATTATTCAACAATAAAAATTTCTATTTTTCTCTTCTTCTCATTGCACATATTTTCCATTCTATATCATGTTCTTATCCAACCTTGAATTTGCATCTCCAATTATGTATGGCTTTGAGTTAATGTACTTCTTTTTTCCTTTTGCACAAGAGTGTTTTGGTTAGTGAGATTAAAACTTGTGTTGAATAGTTTTAAGCAAAACTCAAAGAATTCTAGAGAGTATCGAAATCTAAGCCTTAATGCTACAACCCTTCAGTAGCTGGAGAAAAACTTGTACTCATATAGCACTGTTTTGCTATCCTATCCAATACTGTGGTTTGGATGATGATTGCAAAATAGTGATATTCCTTTGTGTGACATGCCAGTTCTTCTCCCGTGGCTGTCAACAGAAATGGTGACTGGTGAGGGTGAGATTTGTGATTGCTACGGATTGCAGGCTGACAGAGCAGTATCCATCTTTTGATTGTCGGTCTGGACTGATTTGGTAGTTTAGTTTTTTGGGTTTCCATAATGGGAATTGTTGACTTGTTGACAGAGGGGGTAAAGTAAGTGGGTTTTTAATGAAGCTTCAAGGTTGGTTTTCTTATTAAGTGGGTGGATGGACGGACTTGGTAGTTGAAACTATTCAATTCCCTTTCTTCTCAAGTACGTGTCCTTTCGCGGATAAATTTTTTGCATACAATAATAATGCCTCTGTTCTTACATCATCATGATTTATATATATATTGTAAAGAAATGTAAGAATTTTTATTTTTATTTCCTCCTCAAGGCCACTATTGCTTTTGCTTGCTTTTGCTTTTGGCAACCACTAATTGGTTGTTGAGTTGCTAATTATTCTAATAATTAGCTAATTATATGATTGTGTTTGAAATAGAGGACATAATGTGGGGGCAAAGAGCCGCAAATTACTCAATGCACCCTTATGCATATACCTAACTAAAACCTCTATAATTCAAGATTGCGCCGAAGGTCCTATATTCGAATACCTCTTTCTCCAGTATCGCTTATGTTTAAAACGACGTCTTTAATTATAAAGTCCAAAAAGCGCAATCGGTTGGTGCCAGTATCAAATTTCTGGGTCGGTTGGGTTGCCTTGTGCTGACAGCGACCTTTTCTTTCTTAATTTTTATTTTTTTTCTCAAGTGTCTTCTTCTTCTTGCTTTGCTCTGAGTAATTGTTGTTGATGGACCATGTCTGGTCTACATTCAACACAACTTTGATTGGGTACGTGACAAATTAGGGCTTCCCTTTTATTATTAACAACAAAACCGGCCTATCATTAAAGAATAAAAGGAGAGAGATTGGTGGTTGAGGGTCCTTATCTTATCGACCTTATCTTTCAAGGGGACTATTATGATTTTCGTTACCTGAAAGCACTTTTATAATCCTTTATTCACGAGCGTTTTTAAGAATGTCTTGTTTGATTACGAAAAGTGAGTCTGACTGCTTTTCGAAGAAGCGTTTTAATGAAATTTGCTTTTAACAAAAAAATACATAATTAAAAATAATATATAATGTTATGTTTTTATTTAGTGCTATGAAGACAGGGATATATGTGGACCAATAATCAAACTATTGAGTCATGCTCATGTCATGGTTGTAATAAGATTAGACGAGTTTTGGGAGTGATTTGTAATTTGGTCTCTAAAATTTATTAATAAATATAAATGCAATGGTCACATGTCTGAATCGCCCGGGTCGGTGCGTCGCAGCGGTCAAACGGCCGGCAGATGACTCTGCTCACGTGGTCACACTTTAATAAAAATAAAAATACTATAAATAAAGAGAAAACTAATTCACCAAAAATAAAAACACAAAAACAAAGTCGCGCGCGTGGGGTTGAGCAGAAGGAGAAAGAGGACAGAGGAGGTTACCTTGACTTTGGGGGTACCCTACGTATGTGTGACGTGCCCTACCCTACATCTGTAAGGCTGTAAGCCTCCTAAGTAACGTTCTTACAATTTGTACGGTCGATCCGTCTAAAGTACATAAACAGAAGAAAAAAAGAAAGAAACCGTGAAACTCAAACAGTAAATTCAGAGTTCTTTAAGATTCCTTGTGATCTAATCAGATTCTCAGAGCCATGTCGTTTTGTGGCGTTTTCAAGTTCGGGGAAATTAGGTCCACGATTGTCTCTTATCGGTAATGGACATTAATCTTTAAGATTCCTTGTGATCTAATCAGATTCTCAGAGCCATGTCGTTTTGTGGCGTTTTCAAGTTCGGGGAAATTAGGTCCACGATTGTCTCTTATCGGTAATGGACATTAATTATTTAATGCGGTTATCCTTTTGTATTTTCTTGCATGGGTTACTTATTTTAATATACATTTTTTTAATAAAAAAGGTGCCACTTATGCAGGGGAGGATCCACATAAGGGCAAGAGGGGTCAATTATCCCCCGCAAGCCCGGAATCCATCATTGGAGACGAAGATGTTGACCCCTACAAATTGGCCACAAACTGCTTGATGAAATGCTCCAGAGGGCGCAGCACAGCAGGCAGGAGACGACGTTGTACAGATTGTCTTATTTTCATTTTCAACATTTAAGTAAATGTCAAATAAAAATACTAGAAAATCAAATTCCCACCAAATCAAAATATGAAAAATCGGTTTTAGTGCAAAATATAATTTAGGCTAAAAATGATGGCTCATTAAGTCAATATATACTTCATATTAAAATCCCATAAAATTAAGTTTTCTTATTTGATATGTAAGGAATAAAAGCCGCCAAAAATTATCTTGAGAATATGATTATTCTGAAAAATTATTTTTCATACTTAGCTAATATTTTTACATAAAACAATTTTTCAATATGTATGATATGAATGCATGAAGGGACCTAAGGTCAATCTAGGTAAAAAAACCTTAGATGTTCAATCCACAAAGAGTTTTACAAGAATAACCTAACTCTTACATATTGAAGAAATATTTTCTTGAAAAAGCTCCCCTTAAGACAGTACTGTAGGGGTCCAAAGTTTGAGAGCTAGAGCCCAAAAGAAATGCAGATAAAGCCCAAAATCAAAATGACAATGGACCATAAGAAGGAAGGAGTTCGTTGCATGGAGCGGGCCCAATATCAATCCATGTGGATGAAAAACATTTTTTAAAACCCCAACAGAATGCGCTACTCGGTTTCCATGTGGTTTATCTCATATGCGAAGGTAAATGTTCTTAATCACTTCAGATAAAAGCTGCTTGCTGGTTTACATGTGCTTGACAGTGTTTAGAAGTAGTGGTGGTCTCATTAACTTCAAACCAGTGCCTAGGCTTACTGGTACGTGATGTTTTGAGGCAAGGGAGGAAGAACATAATGCTCCCGGTTAAAAATGCCAAAGTAATTGCAAAGACAAGAAGCAAGGAACACCCTGCAGATTCTGGGAAAGACACTTGGAAACGAGAAAGAAAATTGGTAAAGAATTCTTCACACTATCGATTACCAGAAATCCGTATTTTGTGTGCCTATAATAATCCCCAGTTGACACTTGAGACCGGAGATAAATGTATCTTCATCCTTGATCATACAAATTCAGACACAAGCTTCCGAGAGATGAAACAATTATCGGGCAATAAATGGTAGCTTGAGAACATTAAACTCCAATATTTCAAACATCAATTCTTCCAATTCTTTCATCTAAAATGACAGTGAATACCATACATTGAAATAATGTTATTTGAGGGAATGATAAACTTGCACCATGCCATCACACACCACTTGCATATAAACGGGTCCATTCCTTTGCTGCAGGGATCAAGGAAGAACAAATTAGCTTTAGCATTGTTAATTGATATTACAGTTCTAGCTAAGTGTGGGTAAAACCAATAAAAAGGAAAACTATCAACATTACCTGTTTCAACCGCTTCAGCCTCGTTCGATTTCCAATGTTTGGCGATGTTCTCAGAGAGCGGATCGTCGGGGTTTGGAGCACTCAAAAGTGCCTGAATACTAGCAGAAAATGATGGCAACATTGCCGATAATTCAGTTTCAATTTTTACTTAAAAAATGTATAACCATGCATCACATTAAAAGATTTTCCCAAATCAAGTACAGTGACTGTATAAGAATAAAGCAGCAGAAATGGTATAGCAGCTGCATTGAACTCTACATTATACCAGTATGAACTATATCAAAATTTGTTTTGAATTAAACAAACAGTTTGTCTTGATATTTTAATCTGTGACCCGCACAGGTGTTTCTTATGTTTTGATCTCAGCACAGGTAATAGATTCACTACAAAGGCAATATGAAATAATGATACCTCAAAAGCACAGTTCGTATCTGGAGAGCAGGACTCCATTTGTCTTTCAAAATGTCAAGGCATATTCTTCCCAGCTGCATTAAGAAAACCATTCATAAAAAGGCAAGAAACTACTACTTGCTAAACCTTCGAAAGTAAAAGGAAGAAAATAACCAAAAGGCACAGCCTACCTTGTCAATGTTAGGATGATAAATTTTGGTGAGAAATCGAACCTGATACAAGGGAAAAAACAAATAATTACTTGATACACACAAGATAAGTAATATAAGGATGCTGAGAGGCATGCTAAGGCAGAAGGCGGTGTGGTGCTGGACACTGCAAAACTGGAACCACATCGTGACACATTTGTAAAATTACTACATAATGACAACACAGTTTCCTTAGAAGTCTTTTAACAGTTCCCAGTACCATGTTGGTATCCTATGAAAGGATAGCGAACTATTCAATCCCAGACTGCCACAATTGACAACAGTTGCTAACAAAGGTGAATATATGCAGATTGTTCTTACATTAGTTCTACCTCAAAGAAAAACCATTAAAGCAATTGTTCTTACATTAGTTCTACCTCAAAGAAAAACCATTAAAGCACAACTATTAACCTATGAAATTTTCATTCATAATCAACATCGGCAATGCATTCAGAAAAAATTGGAAACATTCCAGTCCATAAATTATTAGCGATCAGAATCAGTGTCAAAATGTGTTATGTAAACGATAATATTTACGAAATTGCATCTCCTTTCCCTTCTAGCTACATGACAGGCCAAATGACTTAAGCTATTTAACTTCTTTAGTTTGGGCGAGTTTAAGAACTGCCTTCTAAGATCCTAAAGATCCAATGCACATGCATTAACTATACACATACCAAATACTAGTTTCTCCTTGGTAAATTACAACATCAACATTAACAGACTACCCAGGTTCAATCCAGTTCTCAAAACACACTGCTACTTTTGTAGGCATACCACATGCAACTAACAAGGCATGGCATCCCATCAAATTGCACGGCAAGTAAAATATACAAAGGAAACAAAACTAAGTTGAAATTGAATATAAACAAGGAACGAATTAACTGTGACGATAAAACCCATTTATTAAATAACAGTGAAACTCCACACATCTGAAGCAAGAATTAAAAGTGCTCCTATCCATCGAAATGTTTTACCCTTTGTGTTTGTTTCATACTGAAAAGACTTCAAATCAAAGTACCTTTGGAGCAGCCATTGGATATTCTTCTGGCAAAAATAGTTCCAACTTGAAAACTCCTCCTGAACAAATATTTCAAACAAACGAATACACAACGTTAAATGTGCAAATCAATTCTAAGCAACGGAAAAGAAAAAACAAGGGAGTAACAAGAAAAAGGAAACCAAGTAAACCCGTAATACATTTCTATAACTGACATCTGATTTTTCATTAACGAAATTATCCAACTAAGAAAAATAAGCTGCCATAATTTGACACAAGCTCAACCACGAAGCAAAGAACATTGTTACTCAACACAGATGCAACGAGAAATTTTCTCAAGTATAAGCAGTATACACAGATGTTACTTGGTTATATGAAGAGAAAAAAAGTCGGAGTTGTTAGAAAGGGTATCATCATTAATCTAGGACCTGGTTCACTGTCCATGATTTGACACAGTTGCGTGACATCAATGTCATACACCTCTAACAGGCCAACAAACTCATATAGATAGACAAGTGCTACAGAAACAGACTACACTTTCCTGACAGCACAAGCAACAAACAGATTTCTCAAGGTGAGATAAAGCTCTCCTCGAGTATAGGGATGATTGCTACAATATCTCCTCAATTAGCCTGCCTTTCTGAGTAGCACGATCTCTCATTAGTCCTCAATTAGCCTGCACTCAGTCTTTCTGAATATTGCAAAAATCACTAACAGGAAAATCAATTTTATTATCTTCAATAGATATCATGTTTTCTTCAATTCTCTACTTATCCCATGCAAAATGTTAAGGCTCTCAAGAAAAACTACCGGCTATTCTAATAACCAAAACAAGTGTTCATACTTGCGCAATGTCACTAGACTGACTACTTGCTCCAAAGACATGGTAGAAGCTGCAGTCCTTCATTAATGGTTTGCTTCATATGCTTACTTCCATTCGAAAATCAAGGGAGAGTTGATTATGCCCTTCAACACAATATTATCCCACGGGGCTACATTGTCACATTAAAATATTGAAATATGGACCTGATACTCCTTTCGTACACAAGAGTAAGAACAAATCACAAAAATAGACAACCTTCGGTGATCACAAACCACTATAGAGTTAAAGGAATGCTCCCACCTCCTAAGTCATTCTCATTAAACCTCTTTAGCAGACAACGACGTCAATAATTTGTTTCCAGCCAACTTTCACAGGAAAAAATATGAATGAACACAAACATCCAGTAATGCAAATCCCTACATTTCAAGTGAGGTAGGACTATTCATCGCTAAGCACCACAAGTCATCATTCTGAAACATGAATTTGTTGATTAAATTAAAAAGATTCCCCAAATCAAAGTTACCATCAGGCTTTTACTCCCAAAATAAAGCTCACACTTACAAATGGATGTGCACAGAACAAAAGAACTAATGCTCTTGTTGTCTCAATTATGAATATATCACATGGAAAACAAAATAAACACTTCTGATGCTTTCCCCAAAATTTCCTTCAAAAAAGCAAAAGACTTGTAACAATAATAACCAATCAAGATTGAATTTCTTACATAAGCCTGTAGTATAAAAATAATGCAGTCCAGTAATTTATACCTTCATAAGGAGATTGTGTTGGGCCAAGGATCATCACATTGAAATATCGCATATTGTCTTCCGATGGTGAAGCGCTAATTCCCGGTGCTGTACAGATAATCACGGTATTAAATAATAACTAAGCCCCATAAATCCCCATAAATCCCCATCAAAATAAAACCCAACAAAATTAGCATATTTATATTACATCTAAACCCTAAAAAAATATTATCCTGCTCACATTTCTATTTAGATTGCTTTATAAAAACAAAAAAAACAAAAATCAAAAGAATTTAAAGCACGACTTCAAATTCAAGCTCAAATAATTAGTGGGAAAGAGTGTAACTTACCAGGCTCACTGAGGAGACGTTGAGTTTCCTGTGGGATCAAAAACACAAAAGTGGTTAAACAATTACACAAAATAAAACCGCAAAACCCTAAGCCACGTTTGGCAGCCGAGAAAGAGAAGACAAAAATGAAAAAGATCACAAATTTGCAAGTACATATTCCAGGCTAAGCACATAAGATGAAATTACAAAAAAATAAATGAAAGTCTAAATTTTCTTGGTTTGGACACAAACAGAGCGATCAGAGGGAAATTAGAAGAGGGATCGTGAAGAAGATTGAAGGGTGAACCTTGATGATTCTCCGGGGAAGGTTACTGTTGGCCATTCGAAAGTCGATTGCAGGCTACGCAATGAGGGTTTTTGCGAGAGAGAGAAGGGAGGAGAGAGAGAGAGAGCGTTGGGTTTATTTCTTTCTCTCACTATGACGAAGAAATAATCTTAATAAGCACTCGGTTTACGAATATTTTACGTGTTTCTTATTTCCCAAAACTTAAAAGCAATGACTTTGACATCTTTATTATTCTCTCTTTCTCCTTTTTTTTTTTTCCTGCTTTGGGGAGTTTCGTGTATGCCCGCCAGATTGCCAATAACAGATCAGTTTAGTGGCATTTTGCTTTTTCGCCTGTTTCTTCCACTTAAAAAAAAAGAGAAAAAAAAGTTTGCTACATTTCCTTTCCTTAGGTGAGTGGGACTGTTTTAGGTGTACCTTCTCATTTTACCTTCTTTTATTAGCTACATTTCCTTAAGTGAGCATGACTGTTTTTATCTTGCAATGTCGTTTAATCATTATTGTCACCTAAAGTATAAAAACTTGTATGAAAAGACTAATCACATTATGTAATGTGGAAAAGTTATCATGCGTGGTATACCGTGATTGGCCAAGAGTAGTTAAATAGTGCTATCCTAATTTCATGTAAGTGTTTTTTCACCTAAATGACTACGATGGTCTCATGCCTAAGTTTAGGGAGAGGATCTCATGCCCTTTCTTCCCTCACTAATTCCCCGTTCTCCCCAATTTTCCCTCTTTTCTCCGAGGGGGAATCATGTTTCCGATCCCCTTCCTAGTGCAAGGTCTCTCCTAATGTAGAAGGCCTCTTCTCATTTGGAAGTCAGGCTCTCTGCGTTGGACTATCTTCTAGTTCACCTTTTAAAGATCATACTTGCGAAAATTCAATAAAATCATAAATTGTTTCGTAATTTAATTGTTATCAAATAAATCCACGGATCTAGTGTTTTGATTAAACAAATAATTATCACATTGTTAATCAAATGTAAAACTGTTTTCGATTAGTTTTTTTTTTTTTTTTGTAAAAAATAATTCTTGAAGGATAACCTTAAAAATGAACGGTTTTGATTATCATACAACATTGCAGAATGAAAATGAGAATAAAGACGATACAAAATGAAAATCACTAGCATTCCCAAAAAAAAACATTATAGATGAGAGATTTGATACTTATTTGGTTGATTTTCTCGAATACCCCATTTTGACCACCCACCAACCATTGGGACCATATCGCTTATATAAAATGGTTCAATGAAGGGGGCAGTAACGGACGAGATGAACGAGTACATCATATCAGAGTCAAAATTGTAACTTTTCTGTATTTCAAAAATGCAATTTAAAGATATATTCATCTTTCTGGTTTTAATGTTTGGATGTTTGAGTCGCATAATACACAAAATGTTATTAAGCAAACTATTTTAGATGCATTCATGCAAAAAAAATAAAATTTAGATGCATCAACCACATCCAATCTTTTTTTTGTTTAAAACTAGTCGATCCTTTTATTGTGATGTTCTTTAAAATAAAATAAAAAGAATTTTGTAGAGAGCTATATAATTAAATAGAGGGGGAGTTAATTCCTTCCCACAAATATTTTTATATATATATATTAAGTAGTTCACATTATGGTGACAGAGTGTGGTATATGTATAATATTTCTATTCTTCCTCGGTCTCCTCGGGGAACAATTCCTTAAGAACTTGCTCACACTCAGTGACACTCTCCTTCTGCATGAACCCAAGGGGGTTGGCATACCGAGCCATGGAATTGACACCATTGTTGTATGTCAGCAAAACCCTAGCTCTCTCGAAGTCAAAGTGCTCCTGGCAATTATCCTTAGGGCTGCTCACGGTCCTCACCTCACAGATTTGCTCCTCCATCTCCTCATCGGAGGGAAGGCTGTAGATGCCATTCTTATCGGTCTTGCCTTGGAGTGTGTATGTCAAGGTACCATTCTCACGGCCTCTGCACTCCAAAGCTACCACAGCACCTGCATCCATGCACGTATCAAATAAAGTGCATAATTTAATAACTTCTTCGACTTACCCCAATGCCATTGTATAGGGATTAGTAAAAATAACACATAAATTGGAATTAGGGTTTTAATAACTTCGGACAGCTCAACTTCTTCAACATGAGATTCTATGTTCGATGCGAAATACTGAAAAGCGGATAGAGGTAAAAGCAACCCTTCAAAAAGATCATTTTCCTTTCGTTTTTCATAAACCAAAAAAGAAAATTAAGAGGGTCTAATAGAGAGCCATAGATGGTAAATCTTGGATACTAACAAAAAGAATTGATGAAATGGCAAAATAAGAATGAAGTTACCTTCGAGGGGTACACTAAGTCTAGTCTCGAACTGGACGCGACATGGGTCGCAGTACACCCTGCCCTCCACAAAGAGATTGGTTTTGGTTGTGGCATAGGCCAAAGAGCAGAAGCAGGACAGGGCGACAACAAGTGCTACGATACTCACGTTCTTGGCCATTTCTATATCTCTCCTCTTTGGTGTTCTTCCTTGATTTGAGTTCTAATATTTATTCCCCCTTGTGTTGAGTTTCTTGGAGGCACTTCAAAGTATTTTATAGGTGAAACAAATGGTGTTTGGTTAAGATTGTGTGGTAATGGTCGGGATGTTCTATTTTAGGGTTTGTGGAGGGAGTCAATTTTAGTTGTCATTTTCCGCACTTTTTTCCCCTTCAACTAATATGACAACAAGTACAAAAGTTTGGAACTATTTTTAAAAGTCTCATGGTTGAAAAACTAGTTTGAGAAATTTGGTTTTTCAAAGGTTTAGATTTATTTGATAACAATCGGTGATAGGAAAATACTCATGGAAATAGTTTTGCTCAAATACTTTTTTCCTTTATTAAAAGAAAGATGAATCAAACTTGAAACTTCTACAATATTAAGAACTTGAAATTTATTTTCATATGAGATCATGATGTAAGGTGACATAAACGTTACATTGATAATATTGTTGAGATTATATAATTATATTTTAGACCAAAAACAATATATAGATAATGGAAAACTGTAGGTGCTTTATTCCATATTTTTCTTCTGCTATTTCACATCCATGTATAATTTCTAGTTAGTTTCCAAAGGAAACCAAACCAAAGGAGTTGTTTCTTCTCGCTTGTATACCTTTTTACATAACACGTGTTTTCTGCCCCCCAAAAAAAACGTGTTTTTTCGTTTTTGATTTCCTGGTCTGAAATTTTTTTTTAAAGAAATTTAATTTAAAAAAAACAAAATTTTTGAAAAATAACAAAAGTGTCAACTAGGTAAAGCAGCCAATGAAGAACTTGGCGGCAACTCTTCACAAATGGCTTCCTGCTCTACGTTCAACCTTTCACCAGGTCCAAAACCCACAAAACCTTTACCTCATTCGCTCCTAAAACCACTGATTCACGAACCCGAAACCGAGAGCCGAACCCAAATCCAAACCCCTTACCCAAAGCTCATAATCACTGGTCCTTCCAAGCTCTCCGGCCATGTACCCATCAGCGGCTCCAAGAACTCAGCTTTACCCATTCTTGCAGCGACCCTTTGCTGCTCAGGCACTTCAAAGATTCACAATGTGCCCAATTTGTTGGATACCCGCACAATGGCTTCGGTTTTAGCTTCTCTTGGAGCCAAAGTTGAAGTCTTTAATAATGAAATGTTGGTTAACACTGATGGGGTTGACTCAGTTGAGCCTAATTCGGATGAAATTCGTAAGATAAGAGGTGGATTTTTCGTCATTGGCCCGTTGGTAGCCCGATTCGGCGAGGCTGTGGTTGCATTGCCCGGTGGCTGCAATATCGGGACTCGACCATAGGTTTAAATTATATGCAATTGCTGAATGGTTAAACATGATAGGTATTGATCAATTAACCATTGACTCAAAAGTTTTAGCTATAAAGACTTTATTATTTCAGTTATTTGATATCTACAAGAAGAATGTAATTCCTAATGTGGTTCAAAATGTGCAAAATGTTGTTGCAACTTCTACTAGTCAAACTCCTGATTCTATATCTGTCCCTATAATGAGAAATTTCTCTATTGAAGGCTTGAAAAGGAAAAAGCTATCTTCTTCTTCTTCTTCTTCTTCTTCCACCAACACTTCTGAATTACAATTTTATCTTGATTTACCAACAATAGAAGTTGTTGATGACAATCAATTTAGTCTTTTGGGTTGGTGGAAAAACAATCAATCATTATACCCTGTTGTTTCCCTCATGGCTCGAGATTTGCTAACTATTCCAGCTTCTACTGTAGCATCAGAATCATGTTTCAGTGCAGGTGGTAGAGTTGTATCGGAGAAAAGGGCTAGTTTGAGTCCGAGTACAATAGAAGCTTTAATTTGCTTGAAAGATTGGGGCTTGGCAGATTCAAGAAAGCAAGATGCATTGGTGGATGAGCAACGAGCTGAAGAATTAATGAACATTAGAGCATCAAGACCAGATTGGATGGTAGACAGTGAAGTTGAGATTGTTGGTGAATCTGAAAATGAGACCATTCAAAGTTGAAATGTTATGTAATACGACTATATTTTATTTTGCAAGCATTCGATTTTAATTGTAGTAACAGACTTTGGGACATTATCATGCTTTTGAGTAAGCCTTCAGTGAAGCTTTTGATGAGATTGTGAGTGAATCTAATTTGATTTTGCATAACTTGGTTGTATTAGATTGTGATTTTGTAAGACCTTTTGTTTAGAAGGGTATAATTTTAATGGTTGTATAAGATTTGTAAGACATTCACATTTTGTGAGCTTCGTACTAAAACAGGAACGAAATGAATTTCATAAATTTGACTTGGTATTAGTAAGCCCATTTCGGCCCGGCCCAATTGGGCTTGCCCGGCCCGGCCCGATAAGGCCCATTAAAGCCCGTCTCATGGATCGGGCCTGGGCTTTGATTTATTGAATAAAACCCAGCTCCGCCCGGCCCGATAATATTCATTTACTATTTAAGCCCGGCCCGGCCCGGCCCAAGCCCATTCATTTTGGGCCGGGCTTGCCCGGCCCGGCCCATTGACGAGCCCTAGGTGACGGTGATGAAGCGGATGCGGAAGAAGAAGTCGGATTATCACCACAAGTCGGATTATCAATAAACGCGTCCATTTATCACTTAAAAACTGACATTAATCAACAAAAACAGAAACTAATGAATACAAATAGCCATAAGTAAATCATCCATAATAACAACATAAACTAAAAATTAAAAAACAGCCCACCTAAATAAAAATAAAATAAAAACAGCATTTGATAATCTAATAAAGGCCTATATTGCTAAGTATGATTATTTGGTGGAATTTTTTTTTAAAAAAAAAACAGCAATTGATAATCTAATAAAGTCCTATATTACTAAGTATGATTATTTGGTGGAATTAAAAAATAAACAGCAACTGATAATCTAATAAAGTCCTATATTGCAAAGTATGATTATTTGGTGGAATTTTTAAAAAAAAAAGCAATTGATAA